TGTGTGTGTTGAGGTGTGTGTTGTGTTTGTTGTGTGTGTTGTGTGTTGTGTGTGTTGTGTGTGTTGAGGTGTGTGTTGTGTGTGTTGAGGTGTGTGTTGAGGTGTGTGTTGTGTGTGTTGTGTGTTGAGGTGTGTGTTGAGGTGTGTGTTTTGTGTGTTTTGTGTGTTGTGTGTGTGTTGTGTGTGTGTGTGTGTGTGTGTGTGTGTGTGTGTGTGTGTAAAATATGTGCAAAATGATAATTTTGTTATGTTTATGAGCAGATAGTGACTGAGATAATATATGTGTAAAATGTATCTGTGTGTTTATGATTAAGTGATTAAACCCAGGGTTTTGGTTATTTTAAAATGTGCTTACATCTTAACATTTTTTATTGAATCCACATCAAGACAAAAAAAGCTTTGTGACTTTTTCATGACCAAAAAATAACCCCTTAGCCAATGGTTTGGAAGAAAAGCAACTAGTCTCTTGGACTGCAACAGTTGAAAGGAATCTTCTCATGTTATTATGATAGAAGTTGCTTAAGAACTCTTACTTTATATCTATTTGTTGAAGTAATTTATCACTTGGTAATGATTGTCCGAGATGATTAATGCAGTGCTACATTTTGGAGAATGTATAATAAGATGATAACATAATTAGTATGTGTTTTACATTCACCCAACACAGTAGAAAAGGTCTGGCCAACAGTCATTCATCATCCTAAAAAAATAAGGCTCAGATGGGGAGACAATTATTATAATGCAATGGTAATGATTTGTTGAGGCATTAACCAGATTATCTAATGTCATGGACAAAGCAGACTGCTCTTGCAATCATTACTTACGCTTTTTATTAACTATAAACTAGCATCTATTCTGATAACATGTACAAAAAGGTTAACACACCTGGTATATTACAGCAAGTGTCATTTCCCTTTAATGTACACATTTGTTTAACCTCATTGTGCTGATTGCCATGCATGGCAGTGGAATCTTTTTTGGGCTCTGGGCTTTGTTTGTTAATCTCTTTATTTCCAATTTTAGCTTTGTACCTGTCACTTAGAGCATTTGAGAGTGAGCATGATGGACCTCGGTGTCTCGCTCAAGGACACTTAATCATGAAAGTGGCTGTTAATGGACCGGCGAGGCACTTAATGGTTATGATGGGTGTTACGGGTGTTGTTGTGTCGTCAAACGAGCCTATGTACTGTGGATTTATGAGAATAAACAAGGTAAAGGACACTAGTGGCATCGTAAATATTTCAAAATGAAGTTATTTTCCTTGTTATTCCCCCTGTACCAAACCAGCCCCGCAAATCTCCCTGTCTCCTCAGAAATAGGCTGAACAATGACAGACAGAGAAGATTAACAGACGAGTCCCCGCTCTGCCGGCTGCTGGGGAGGGAGCAGAGAGCGAGAGATACAGGGAGATAAGACAACGTAAACATCCATTACATTCACAAATGCAATATGTGCCTCTAAAAAACACACAAATAGCATCAACAATAACTCTAACACATTCACAATTATGACCGCACTAACATGACACACACAGAAAAAACGCATATCTGCTTTCCATCATACAAACAGTCTAGCATGTAGACAAACAGGAGCAGATTCTTATCTTACTTATTTCCTTTCCCTCCTAACCCCAACAGAGGCTGTTTCTTTCAAGCAGAGACAAGCCAGCTTTATCATGTTACCACAAAATCGTATACATATGACACATTTCATTAATTTCTAGTATGTGTTCATGGGTATAGGTTAATTCCTTATTTTGCAGACAATGGTGTTCACCTTCACAACAAAGACAAAATAAAGCATCTCTGCTTGCCCTGCCCAATTTGAACCAATTTACTGCAACTGCTGTTTTTATGAGGGATAAGAGTCACCTTGAGCCTTTGAAGTCAAATCCCACCAGCTATTTTCCACGCCTCTAATCCATACATTGCATAACATAGCAAGCTCTCCATTTATTCCTACTAGTGCCCTAACTGCTGCAAAGGATGAGGTAGACTCGGGGGGAGAGAGGGGGATGGGGCAAAACATTATGCAACATATAGGTATAAAGTAAATATGAGAATACATTATTTTCAATACACTGTGATATTTTTCAATAAAAGTCAAACTGACAGCTTCTGGGCTTTTTCTGGAGAACAAGCCGAGAGAAATAACATAAATGTGAATGACACAACAAAAAAGGAATTAAAGCAGATTCTATTTTGTGGAATGCTTTTTTCATTTTGAGATACGCTTGTGTTGTGTTCTCTGCAGACATCCATTTGTTCATTGGGGTTGTGAACCCAAAAAAGGTTGAGAAGCACCATGTTGCGTAACGCACCAAACACCGTCCACATCACTGCATCCATCCAAAATAAGCACTGATTCAATCAGACATCCATTGTACCCAGGTACAGGGCAGGGATGGACTTCATCAAAATGGAGGACAGGGGAGTCGGCTGAATGTGACTTCATTCCATTATGTAATCATCTAACCCAGTGACAAATCCCCAGACAGTAACCCTCTCATTTATTTTTGGCCCTTTTACAATAATTTCTCAAAACAGTCTTTCTTGTTAGTAGAGATTCTGACTCATTTTCTCAAAAAAACAACTCAATTTATCTACCATTCCCCCTTGTTAGCTGTCTGTTTAACCCCTCTACATCTTACATGATTCATCTACCCATCTCTCAGCTTACATCCCTTTTCCTTGCATTCCCCCAACCTCCCACTGTTACTAACCATCTCTCCTAATCCCCCCCGCCACCAACAGATTCAATGCTTCAGTTTCCTCTTTTTATCCAAACCCTTCCCCTCTCCATATTATCTCTCCTTACTCTAATCTTCTGTCACATCCCTCAACCACTGCACATGTATTCTCTTTCCTTTATGTCTCAACACTCCTTCTTATTTCTTCAATGACCCAGCACCACAGGCCTTACCAGGTATGGGCCACAGTGAAGCGCCGTCTCTGTCTGATGCTCTTGTTGACCATCAGCTTGCGGAAGAGGCGCGGGGAGCTTCTTGGGGACAGTTTGGGAGACGTGGCGCCCCTCTTCCCTCCCCCCACACCTGGGATTTTGGGAGGCTCTAGCTCCAGGTGCATGTGCTCCTTGAATGTCCGGATGCAGGAGTCCATGTCAACGCTCAGCTCGTTGGATGACATTCCCACAGGCTGGGTTCAGTCTTTCTGTCCTCTTACAAATTCAGTCCCTTCCTGTTTCACTTCAGTCATCAGCTGCTCATGTACAGCTTATTTTTCATCCTCCAGACACCAGAGAAGTTTGCGCTGGGTTGAAATGTTGTAGCCGAAATATTGAGACTACCTCACACACAAACATTCACCCAGGAAAAGGCCAGCTCACACATACCCTTTTGTTGTTTGTGTTGCCTCCTTGCTTCCTATCCTTCCTCCTTTTCTACCGCTTCTTCACGGGTTAAGGGATTAGCCATCCAGCAGTGGTGCCCTCGCCCTCTCTCTTTCCTTTTGGATAAAGCAACGTGCTTTCCTGCTGGTCTTCTGTTCATCAGAGATTCTTAGAGGTGCTTTACCCACAGCAGGGTCACATGCAGCTCATACCAGGAGAGAATAATTCCTCTTTTCTCAACACAGCCTCTCTTCCATTTCCCTCCTGGTGTTGCTGTCTGAAACGTGCTCCCCCCAGTGCTTCTCTGTGTCCCTCTCTCACAGTTGGTGCCTGCTGGATGCCCACCTCAGTACCAACTCTTTCTCTTAGTCCATCCAGGCTGCTTGATGTTGGAGTATTTCCCTTATGAAAGATTCAGAAGGGCTGAACGCTGCTCTCTGCCTCTTCCTGTCTTGTTCTCCCCTCCATCAAGCACCGCTTGACTGACCTCCTCTCTCCGCAAACAGCCCCCACTTCTCTCAAAGGCACTCCCGGTGTGGCACAGAGTGACTTCCACTATGCGGAGCCTCAAGTCAGATTCCCTTTCACTTGCACAGTCAAAGTGGTGAGCTACGCAGAGCAAAGCACGCAGGCAAATGCTTCACTTGCTGTTTCATTCAGAATATACACAAGGAGCTGAGAGCAGGCACGCAGCGAGTGCAAGCCACGCCTACCCTGTTAAGGATTGGCTGGTGGTTGTTGTGACGACAAGCAGGCAGGCACAGTAACAGGTTGTCAAATGTATTATTTATTTTCTGTTTAGCTGGGATTTGTGGTAATGTTTCTGATGATGTTGTGACCTTTAGTGAGGCAGGCAACTGGTGAGTGCCGGCCAAGAAAAAAAATTGCAATTTGGATGGGCGATAAAGGCAAACAGCGTAATGCGCATCAGTGAGGAAAAACATACACACTGCAACAAAGGTCAATTCATTAAAATAAACAGTCTAAAGCATGCTACTGACTGAGCCTGTTGTCTCTTTGCAGTAAGAATGAAACCACAAATAACTTATTACATACCGTTTCTTTCGATCACAATTCCACAACGCACACACACACACACACTCTCACTTTTAGCCATCCATAATTCTGTCTGAGTAGAAGCAATTAAACCGTGAGATTGCCTCAGTATGTAGAGAAAGAAAGAAATAATTGATAGAGGCATTTCAGATCCACATCCTCACACAGAGGGCCACACTGAGTGATGAAAAGGAGAGAGAATAAGAAGAGCAATGCCTTAAAAGGTAGAGAGATGGGAGTATAAGGGAGACAAATCCAAAAGGAACATCAGAAGAGGTAGAATGGCAGCATGACGAATATTGGAAATGTGAGCACTTGCTCGTCTACTCTGTGGACTGATTTGTTTTGGTTGTGAGTCACTGATGCTTCGGAGCCATCTAGGCATGGAGAGTTTTCTCACTTAATGCTTGCCAATAAAACCTTTGAAAAATAGTCTTACCCAGGATGTTTATAAAGAAGAATATACTTGTAGTAATATGTGTCAACGGGGCACAGCACACTGTGTGTCAGTTAGTGGTTAAAAGTCAGACAACGATGCATGGCATTCCCTGGCTCAGCTATTCAAAGTACAATCACAAAATACAACAGTGGACATAGGGTTACAAATAACTATCCTGTAGTTTTCTTACTGACTAATACATCCCAGGAGCATCCAATACGATATGTGAGCTGTCTGCACAGTGTGTGAAAAACTAGAACATTCATTCACTTTTCGTTTGACAATGTCAAACCGGAGGCAAACAAAGGAAGCCTACTTCACACTAACTTTGGAGACTTTGGAGATTTGCAAAGAAGGCCCAAAACAACGATGCTAGCGAGGAATCTGCTGTGTTTAGTAACAACAATAACTGGAGAATGAACAGTTAGGATAAGTAAGAGTCTTGTTGCTAGCACTAGTAGTAGATACATGTTCGACTGTAGAGTAACTGTTGAATCTGAGGTCTCACTGGAAAAAGCAGCTCAAGAGAGGATGATGAACAGGTGTGGCACAGGGCTGTGGTACCATCCACTGCAACTTCAAGTGATCTCCCCCATAACTAAACACATGCAAAATGAAGAGAGAAGAATCTGTGGATGTGTGTGTTGTAAGCAATTGTTGAATGCCTTGTGGGCAAAGAAGCAAAGGCTTTACTTGATTGCAAGTAAAGGATGAGCATTCATCAGAGAAAATGATTATTGGTAGAGTGAATTGCTGTGTACAAAAGCACACAGAAATAGCAGAAATTAAAAGTGGCTGTAAAGCATAGCTCAGTTAAAACACTTTACACAGGAAGGGAAGGCTGGCTTACACACAAATAAGAATCCTCGTAAAACGTAATGATTAAAATAGGTTGCCAGTCACCACTGAGCACATTTACAAACATTGCTTCAGATCAGAGCCAAAGAAACACTTGTTACTAATGCCAAATCATTTGATGCTCTCATTAGCATCACTATGTCCAGTGATAGAAAACTGACACTAAGAAAACACTTCATAAAATTAATCAAGGACAACCAAATTCGTACTATTTCTCAATCTGCTTGAATAAATATAGAGCTGATGCGTTAGAACTAAGAAAAATTAACACAAAACACCTACAAAAAATGTGAAATACTATTGCTGGCTCTTGACATTAGCAAGATGTCTGACAAAAGATGAATGACAAAGCACAGAAGAGACGCGGCAGAAAAACCAACGTTATAAATCCATTTTATAAGTGATGTTAGATTGAAAGGGATTGAATTAGAGTGACTGGGCCATTTCATTCCGCATTAAAGTCTGGATTGTACACCCTGAGCTGGAATGAAAGCACACAATGCACGGTCACAGAACAGGAAGAACAGAGATCTAAAACGGAGCGCTGGCAGCCCTTTACTGGTGGGCTGTGTTCCTTGAACAAGTGGATACTAATAATGGTGTCTGCTGAAATGGAGACAGATAAAAAGGCTACATGTATTATAGGCATCTGGCCCATTTCTGAAAATGACTTAAACTAAATGATCAGTCAATTATTAAATTATGAGATTTAAATGTGTTGATGAATACTGAACACAAAGTATGACAGGTTGAAATATTTAACAAATGGGGGCACTACATAAAAAGTAAAGGGATGACCTAAGTGATTAAAATGATTCCTTCAGGCGGAAATGGATATATCAACAAAATGATATTGGAATAAATTCAATAGCTCTTGATACATTTCACTTAAACCTACAAAGGTCCAATTCATAGTAGTGCTAGTGGAATGGTGAAGGGATTACCAAAGTCAGTAGGAGTCCTCTGTGCACCATAAATGTCTGAAATATCTTGAAATCTATGAGATGATAGAACAGGATAGACCAAAGCTTTCAAAAGACTGACCGTTAGCTATTAGCAGGTTGATCTGTTTCTATTTTTTCTTTATTTAATTTTGAATCGAGTACCCTTTATACTTTGTTTTACAATTTAGTTTTTGGGATACTGTGATGGGCATTCATCTCACATTTTACTAATATTTTACAATGATTATTTTGCATCAAATATTGTATTGATTGTTAGCAGCAACTAGTGCTCTTGCTTTGCTGTGATGTGTTTTTCAGCTTGGCTGTGGAGAGTCTTGTTTAAAGGTCACCTAATGTGCAAAATCCACTTTCCATGTATTGTATACCTAAACATGTGTCCCCTCTGTGTAAAGAGATTCTGAAAGTTTCAGAAAAAAAGATTCGCTCTCTTTCTGTCCTGATCCATTTATATAAAAACCTGTCTGAAAATGAGCTGATCAGATTTTAACCACTTTATGATGTCATGATGATGTTTTGTCTTGTGTAACCATTAGCCAATCACCAACCAATGTAATGGGAATAAGATAGGCAAATGTGTTTTTTTATCATGAGTGTGTATGTCATATAGCGATGATATAGACCTTGAGTATGTGATGGGTTTAGGTTCGTTAATGAGAATCCTATGAGTAGCATCTCTTGCTACAAAACAACATCTATTCCTCATTTCCTTTTTTCAAGCTACATCTCTCAGATAAGTGCAAAAATAATGCATTGTAGTTAGACATTAATACACCTGTACTCCTTCACAAAGGTTCATATAATCAATAACTCTAAAACTCAAAGAGAAATCAGGTATTAAACATTGCCTTGAATGAAAAGAGGCTGCACAATATGACAAATGCAAATATAAACAAAGGATCAAAGTCAATGGTGAAATGAATAAAACACAACAGAGAACAAAAGGGGTTACGTGTGGTCTGTGGAATAATCTGTGATATCCATAAAGATGAACGAGGGCTTCAAGATTTCAAGGTGACCTTGTTACATTTCCTTTGTGTACAGTCTTAGAGAACAGAAAAGGAGTGGTGTCCGCTACAGACTGCTCCCAAGGCTGTTAAAAGTATTTTATATCATGTAGACAGTTATCCTATTAACATCCCTGTCAACTCCAAACCTAACAGACAAAACTACTCATAGGTTTAATTCACACTCACACATGAGAAGATTGCTATGCAACACAAACTGACAACCAGGAGAGAAGACAAATTAAATACAGATTAAAAACAGATTATTTTTCCTCTGAACCAAAACCTTCCCAAAGCCGATGAAACTGTTGCAGACACGAATGCTCGTTCTTAAGCTTTAGCATAAAACTGGATCATATTTGCCCATTCAATGTTCCACTATGCTGTATAATCATGCAAAATGGTGTTGAAATATTAGAAGCATGTTGACTGTTGGTGTTCGTTGAAGTTGGATTGCAGCAAGAGCACTTCTTATTTTCCAATGCGTCCAAATTAAAGTCGTTGACATGTGTCCAAAACACCAAGATAATCTGCTGATATCCAAAGTAGGTATGTTTGAATCCAAATAGCTAAATCTCAGTGAAATACAAATGTGAATTATTTGCCTGCCTTTGTCTCTGCCTGTGCGTGCTAAAATTAAAAATGTAAGATCCAATTTTGGCTCACTGGCTGTGTGGATTACTCCGACAAACACCAAATCTGTCTGGAACACCAGCGGAGAGGGCAGTGCTCGACAACACACCACAAAAAGAAAGTACACCGAGTGCAGACGAACCATAATCTGAACACTGTCATTACGACAGGGTGAGGAGCACGCTGAAATCGATAAATGTTAAGAAGCTTAACCTGAACACATACTAAGGTCAGGTCCTGAGGTATAGTATAGTTTTCTTTGTTTGTTTTTTTACTCCTTTGTTTTCAAAATATGTTTTAAAGAAATCTCTGTGAAATTCAATAAAACTAGAAATGAATAAGAAATCAAACCGCACAATGAGGTTTTTACTTGTTTCGTGACACAGCTTAGACACCACTCCACTTTTGCAGAGTGTGTGTAGTCTATCATCACTGGTAGGTTTGCTGTAGTGTGTCGTTATCTGAAGCCCTTCAGCCGATAGAGCATGATCATGTTGCACAAGTGAAAGGATTTGGTTTATGGAGATAAGCCGTAGGTGGTGCCAATTTCATTGCTGAAAAAAAGGGGGGCTACAAGATTACTGATTCAAAGAGCACCAGCCTTACCTAAAATGGTGAAAAGCAATGTAGAAAATACAATGAACATATTAAGTTTGTTTCAT